AATATAAATATAAAAGTGAACATTGAAGTCAACAGACAAGTATATATAATATGATAGACTGGTGTATATATATAAAGAAATATAGTTTTAAGCTGCGCTATATTTATAGGATAAAGTGCTCACTATCAGAGATTGAGCATATGTAAATATAAAAGTGAACATTGAAGTCAATACTCAGAGGTGACAGGTGGCCTGATGATTGCGCCTAGCATGAAACAGCCTGTCGCCTCTGAGTGTTGGCTTCAATGTTCACTTTTATATTTATATTTACATACACTCTATCTCTAATATTGTGCACTTTATCCCATAGATATAGCACACCTTAAAACTTTATTTCTTCATATATATATATATATATATATATATATATATATATATATGTACAAGGTTCCTCTTGTAGAGTGATGTTTAACAAGCAAACTTGCAGCCTATTCATTAACATGATGAATTTTATCTATGCAAATGGTTTCTCTATTTTGCCCTTGTACTAAGTTTTCTTCATTTTGTCAGTTTACTCATAGGTGCTTAGTGCAAGGGGAGTATCAATAATTAGTGGAAGTGGAATTTTTCTCAGTAAGCAATAACCAGAGTGGTCTGAATAAAATAGAGGGAATCAAAGAATATAGAATTTAAGTAATGAAAATGCCTCATCAAAGAATGGAAGATAGTAATTCTGGAAAGAATAAAAAATGCAATCATAAAAGCGTGCAAGTAAAAACGTGAATCAACTATAATTATAATAATTACTATTTTCTGTATAAGCTGAGGAGAAAACAGTCCAAAATTAATAAAGTAGGTTGTCATAATAAACTCTTGGCTGGTCAGAAAATTGCCTAAAAAAAAATTAACATGCCACACTTCTATTTTAGCACCAAAGAGTAAGTTAATTGGTTTTTCATGGATGGTTGATTCTTAAAAATACATTTGAAATTCTGTTTCATGAATTGGACACAACACTTGAGTTTTGATCTGTTTTTTGGAGTCACTAAAACTGTACTTCATAGACAATTTTTAAAATCCAATATAATTATAAAATAAACTTTGTTTCTTGTTCTATTTTAATTTAACAAAGTGTTTCAATTAATTTATTCTACAACATTCCAGTATTGTGAGAATTTCTAAGACGATATGAAATCATTAGTCCATATGCTTTTGGGTAAAGATGAAGTCAAAAAAATGCAAGAAATAATGAAAATACTTAATTTCAGAATTTTAGAAAACAAGTGGAAAATCTTTATTACTTTCAGGAAACTGAGAAACATGAAAATGTTGCAGCTGCTGCAATATATGTAGAATGTTGCAATTGTTAAATATGAACGATTTTTCAGTTATAAAAACTGAACATTGCAACCGAGTTGCATATAGAATTTTCAACTATGTCACACGACTGTGAAACAAAGAATTTTACAAAAAAAACTATCAGTATCTATAAAAATAGTTGCAACAAGAAAATTCATTATCTTTTTCCATTCACATTATAAATTTAGTATTTTATTCTACCTTCCTTAGTTTAATAAAACATATTTCACAGCTTCTGCACAAAAAAGAAAACTAGAAAATATCTCCGTATGAAAGGGGAAAAATCCCAGTTAATATGGAGAATGTGGGAGAATCAGAAATGCTATAGTTTTGACATTCTCTGCTTTGTCAGCCTCTGCAATGCCAGGCTAAAAATATTGAAAGAAAATCACTAGAATTAAAAGCAACGTAGTTTCTATATTCCAGTGAATTTAGTTTTGTAAATTTCAGATCAGCAGAAAAATTTTGTGATGCCTCAAGAAATCTTTGGGTAAAAAAAATGTATCTAAGATCTGCAAAAAAATTTTGTATTCTTTCATCAACTTATTGAGCTTTTAGTATGATTACATGAATGGAATTTTTCTTAGATAATGTGATTTGTGCAAATCCAGTGACAGGTCACCCATTTCTTGAAACAGTATCTGCTCTGTGGTCAACATATCTATGTATATGCATTTTTATGAATGTTTGTGTGCATATATTTGTATATGGTAGTGATTGGTGGGATAGCTCTAGGGGCCACAATTTAGCTTAGGGGCAGAAGACCTTAGTTACCATGTTTGTATATGCACACATGCGCACATGTCCTTATATTCTATGCTAGATAGCCATTGATCCCATGAGGAAATTCATCTACCCTTAAATAAACCTTAGGTAATTGGTAGCTAGGTAGAATAAACTCTGAGCACAAATTTGTAGTTGAGAACAGGTTTAAGTGGAGTTCAAACAGATTGAAATTTTGGCATTTCTCTGCAGCTTCAGACAAAGGTCACCATGAGTTTTCTCCTTCCATCAGAGAATTTTTGGTGGGGCAAAGACAGTCTGAGTTTGGATTGTGCACCCACAACTTAATCACTGTCCAAATCACTAATTCCATTTAGGGTTAGCGTCATTGTTGAACATGGCAGATAGCTAAATAATATTTCTATGTCTTTTTACCTGTAGAGATGTCTGTAATTTTCAATCTCTCCACCCCCTTTATAAAAATTTTATTTTGTTGTAAACAATAAAAAAGTTAAATTTTGTGTATTTTTTATGGCCTTTTAGGCTCAAGTGAAGAAGCACCAAGATCTTGTGAATCTATTTTTTTTTGAATACTTGGAACGGTGGTGGGAGGGTTGAATACTTGGAAGGTGGGGGTTACATATATTGCCCAATGGGAAATCAAGTTTTTCTAGCACCTAAAAATTTTGGCTGGAGCCAAATTTTATGACTCCATTGAGAATAAAAAATTGGGAGGGAAGAGTGTTGAAAAGAAAATGGCAGAACATGGCAGGGTAGTTTCACAAGACATCATATAAATGGACAGTCCAGTGAGAAGTCATAAATCTGAAGTGACAGATCCAAGGCAGATTCATACAACAAATTTTACACTCCAGAACCCCAAAAATTTGCCTACGTCAAATCCCCTATGAGCTGAGAGGTCCTTTACAAAGCCATTACAACATTTAACTAATTGTGCCTTGTGCCATATCTCTATCTATAAAAGGCAGGATGTGTGTGTGTGTGTGTGTGTGTGTGTGTGTGTAACGAATGCACGGCCACAATTTTCAACGGATTTGCACCAAAATTTACATGCACACATTCCAAGTTAGCAGGAAGGCCAAGACCAACTTTGCATTTCCCAACTCCCATCGATAGTGGAAATAATCGATTTTTTTATGCTTCTACGGCAGTTTTCATGTAGTTTGCGGCCATTTTCTACTGGCCAGAGTGAGAGCCAATAGCTGGCTGCCACAAATAGGCAGGAAGATTCTATTGGCCAGCATGAAAGCCAACAGCTGACTGACACAAATGTTAACTAGCATGCTAGCATGCAAAAAAAATCAATAGCTGCATTCATCACAAGTGGGAAAAATTTAAATCTGCATGGCACTTTACTCCAATTGGCTCATTCGCTTGCTTAAACTCAACGTTGATTCTGATTCCGCAGAACTGGGTTGGGTGTGAAAAAGTATTTGCTGTTAACATTCTTTTTTCATTTGGTTTTTCCAGTCCTTTTTTAAAGTTGATCGTTTTGTGTTCATTTTGTTTAGTTCTTTTTTCGTAACAGATTTAATGTTTAGTATAGAGCTTAGAAAAAATTCGCAGTGTGAGATAGGCAAGAAGTAACATCAGCACGGCAAAGGGCACTCCTTTAAAGGCAAAAATATTTTAAGTCAAGTGATGGCGATTGCTGTATGAGTCGTACGATTTTTGAATCAAGCACGGGCAACGCCGGGCCGTGCTGCTTGTTGTGAATACTCTTACTTTGAGTTTTCCCTTATTTTTGTATTTTTGAATGGATATATTTTTTCTATGAATTAGTTGGTCTTATCAACATTTTTGGTGACCTGTATTTTTTCCTGTTTCTGAGTGTAATCTTTTTATTGCCTCCTGAAAGTTATATCCTGCCCAAAAGAGGTCCACAAAAGGAAATTTTTGTGCAAGCCCTTGTTTTGTACTTCTTTTATTCTGTAATTGTAAATAAATATGTTGTTCTTTTTAAAATTTTACACAATGGTTGTCTTGTTTTTTAAGTTGTGCCTATTTTCGAGAGTTGCTCTTTCTACCAACTAAGTTTTGTTTCTGGCACAAGAACTTGGAGTTGGTAGGAAAGCATAATTTTTACATCTTAGAGGAAATAACTCCAGTTTCTGATGTTGTGGGTGTTCTGATGATGCAGTGGCATTGTCTGATTATAATTTTTTACATATGTATTTTTGGGGGTTAAAAGGGTACCATTAGCCTACAACATGATCATAAAATTATGAGCAAAATCATATATGATATACAACAAAATAAGACAAAAATGCTAAAATGCTTTAGTATACATTTCAGAGAAAGGATTGTATATTTTAAAGAATATATATGTATACAAAAATAAAGAAGTTTTGCTTATCTGTTGGTGGCAATATTTTTTATCAGGATATCTTCCTCCTTCGGATGTTAAAAAACAAAGAGAGAGAAAGTTTTGATTTTTTTTTCATTTGGTGGAAAAGTACTTGTTCTGATCATGAGTCTATTTTATATTTATTTAAATATTTTTAACACTTCTTTTTTATTGTTAGCTACCATTCTATACTATATTTTAAAGTATTTTTATTGCTTAACTTTTAATTTTTCCTTTATTATTAATTATTTTTGTTCCAGTCTACTAGATAGTCTTGTAATAAGTGTTGGGGGTTATTTAATAATTTATTTGTTGCTATCGTTACTGATGATTACATCAGAATTTATAAGAAGAGTCTTTGTAACAGATTTAATGGTGTGGATTTTACAAGTGAGTGAATCATTTTATTTTTTATTTTTAGAGATAATAATAGTTTAGTGATACAAATCTTACTAATTAACCCATAGCTGGAGGGAGAAGAGTGGGGATTCATACCTTACCCAAGGGTATTTGTGTGTAAGTGAATATTATGAAGCCAACTTGAATTGGAACCTGACTCTCTAATTAACAATTCCGAGCCATCATCCATTACACTAACCACACATCCAAGCTTACAGCACCTGGTATTATTATATGGTCACCCATCTAGTTACTGACCAGGCTTGATGTTGTTTAACTTCAGTGATCATATGGGATCCAGTGTTACAAAGTGATGTGCTTATTTAATACTATATATTATAATACTAATATTATTTAATACTATTATATTATAATACTATATATAATCGCATTAACTTGTGTATATATTTATTAAAATCATTATTTTGATATAAGGAGACTGTGTGTGTGTCTTTTATATGCATCTGCAAATATCCTTATAAATACTCTAAGATGAACTGTTTTGCTATATAAATATTTCATTATTTCTCAGTCACTAATTTTCTATATAATGTTCCCATTAACAAGAAGAATCAAAATTAACTCCCCTGAGAGATTTCAAAATGGGATTATAATGGCCTTGCACATCCATTGTATTGGTGGGTAAGAGCAATGATCACTGACCTGATCACAAACACCTCATTTTTACTTGCTTAAATGACCTACATCTTTATTGTAGCAAAAAAACAATGTAGCTTAGAAACTAATAACAATGCTTATATATGCTTGCCGATGCAAATCTTTAGAAAAGATGAAAAAGAGGATATAATGAGAGAATTTTTTCCAATGAAATAACAAAAAAAAAAAAAAGAAAAGAATGGTGACATTAACAGCCTATTGAAATTAAATATTAAAAGAATTTTTTCATGAGCTTTCAAAATAAAAATGTTATTCAATTATGATTTTTTTTCTAAAATTCTTTTACTAGTTATTAACTCAAATTAGTGATTTTCTAAAAGATTTAATTAGTAATCAATTTAAGTCACATACTAATTATATTTCTATTGTTGGTCACTTATTTCTAACTATGCCTGTCTGCTAAAGTGGTTAGCTAATCGCTCTTGCAGATGCCTGCTCAAGCACATTTCTGTTTGTTCAAAACTCACATAACCAATCTGTATCTTATACTGCAATTATACTGAGCAGACATTGGTTAAAGTTTCTTGGAGAAAATAAATAAGAATAATTTGACATGATCAATAGTTAAACATGACCAGTACACTCAAACCCTCAGTTACGATGACCTGTGACTTTGTGAAAGCACAATCATTAAAGGCTTCTAAACAGTTTTTTTCTACCCAATTTTACTCACCAGGCTTGGATTTTCATTTTCATGCTCTTCCTAACGATGCTGCACATTGGGTTTGTCTCTCCATGCTGATATTATCAAGAAAATACCTCCTTGAAAAAATGACCATAGTGAGATTGTAATTCAGGTCTCATTGTCAGAACACTAAACATCTAATTACTTAATCAGTCATTTACTATTTGCTAATTACTGAAATACAATAGGGATTTGTTATTTCAGAGAAATACCTTGCAAAAATGGTATTTTTTCTTTCCAAACAAATTTTTAATATTATTATAAAAATTAATATTAAAAAAAATTAAATTCTTTCCATGATTTCCAGCCAACTTTGGTCCTCAAAAATTTAAATGCAATGTCAATCATTATCTAGTTTTTGTGATTGCTCTTCTATTGTTCTCGTTCCTTAATTATGTTTCTGTTTTCTAATTCATTTACACACAATAACCCGTTGTGTCTTAGTGGCTTTACTACTTTCCATGGCATGATATGATTAAAAAAAATCCTGAAATTGTTTGATTGTTCATAATGTAAATTTGCTGATTGACAAATCTCAATGAAAAGATTTATTGGTACACATGACATATCCAAGGAATATCATGCATCTATAATTTATGAATAGTTGCATATACAGAAGTTGTCAATCAAGTGGATATCTAAGTGTGTGAGCACTGACCAGAAACAATATTGAGTTAATATTTTCAAATTGATTTTACGGCATTTTCAGCTTGTTCATGAAAATTTGTAGGAACAACTGGTCACATTTGATGAAACAGGGTTACATCACTATGATCTGGAGGTCAAACACTAATTCATGCAAGAGTGACATGCAGCTCTTCCACTGCTGAAGAAATTCAAGAGCCAAAAGTCAGCAGGAAAGGTTTTCGCCTTCTTTCTTGGCAACAAGAAAGAAATTTGATGACTGACTTTCTTCCCAAATGCCAAAGAGTTGATGTACAAGGGAAAGTGAAAAATTATCTGCACTCATAACACAGATGATGAAAGTGCAGATAATTTTTTATTTAATCTCATAGAATTCAAATGTAGCTGTGAGGATTAAAGGAAGGGAGATCTGTGAAAAGGTGTTCTCTCTTTTTTGCAGGAAAATGCACCTGCTTGCAGGGTTGGCAAGATGGTGAATGTTTCGTAGAATTTGGGATTCAAGTACATAGACCAACTACCCTACTCAGTAGATCTTGCTTCATTTATTTCTTGCTGTCAAATCTTAAAAGGAACTGAACAGCCAGAAATTTTTAAAATTATTCAGAAATGATAGATCATAGTATTTCAATGACCAAATAGAAGAATGTTTTCTTTTTTGAAAGAGTTGAAGAAACTAGAGAAAAGATGTAAGTGTACAAAACTTCAGGTTGAATATGAAAAATAACATGTTACATTTCATGACTTGAGGTCATTCTCTTCTTGGTTGGGTTGAGAACTTATCATCATCCTCATAATCATCTTCATCAGTCCCATGAAAAGTTGTGATCATAGAATCGCTGCACAACTGACCAGTTCCCTCCATATATCTGGTTTGGAAGCTGGTGATACATTTGTTTATTCTGTAAGTATATGAAATTACATAGTGTATCTTAGGTATGTAGACCTGGTGAAGACCATTCCTCTCCAGGTGAAACCACAGCCCATGTCATTCAACTCACCTTGGTCATAGACAATTTGATTCCATTTGGGGAACCCTCTATTCTGGCTGCTGACTTCAGTCTAGGAAACCCCTTTGTCCAGCTATATCATGTTATCACTGGACTGGAGGAACCCAGTCTTCCCCCATTGTGTTAGATGGCTGTTGACCCTTCAACAAATTTTAGCTACTCTTCGACAGGTCTTGTTTTTAATCCTTCTGGGTGTCAAGACACCTTCCTCAACAAAAAAGCCTGGTGGGGGAATTGGTTTAGTTGCCAATGACCCAACCATGCAGCAGGTTGTATTGAGTTATATGGTACTAGTAGCACCCAACATAAATTTTTCAGCACCACCTCATAAATTGTTACTAAGGAAGGGAGAAATATTATGCTATTTAAATCTTTTAATAGAAAATTATGTACCATATCGCTTTCATGATGTGGGTGATCATGGCTCTCCACAACTATCTGCCTTTTTTGCTCTAAGTAACTTCTGACCCTTTACCATCATTCTTTCTTCATGTTTTGCCATTCATTCAAACAAACTAAAATAAGTTACTTGGTGTTCCCCCTTGCTTCTCTTACATTCAGTATATCATGTGAGTGTTGAATTCTGTAGGCCTTCTTTCCTTACTATTTAAGCATCACTGTTTTTGATTTTCTTTAACTTATTAACTCTGACAGAAATTTCAGTTATCTATGAATGATCTTTACTTTATTTTTACAATAAGGTACAGAGGGAAGGTGGGTGGTTTGCTACAATGTAAGCGGCATGGTGTTTCCTTGCCATGTTAGGTCTGGTGAAATCAAGGAATGTAGTTCATCCAAGATCTATAAATGATCTTTAGAGTTGCAGTGACAACCATTCCTGTTATCCAGAGTTAATGTGTTAACGTCTCACAGCATTTAAAATCTTTTGTTTAATGACTCTCATCTTTTCTAAAGTTGGTCACAGAATTCTTGCAGTAATATAGTGCAGTTCCAGTATGTATCATTGGTGTCAGTTCATAATAAAGTTCGTAATAACAACAAGCTAATTGGACATTATTGTTGTTATTACATGGAACCAGCAGGACTTGAAAACTTTTTACTTTGCCAATGAATACCTTTAATCTGGGGAATAGTTAGAAAAAAGATGTCAAAAATGTGTACCTATTTCATATATTTTTGTAACTTAGTAGTTTCTTTTTTGACTCAATTACATTACCTGTTTCAGAGAAAGGAATTATGATATCTATTCATGGATAATGCATTCAAATGCATAATGGTATCTCTTATTTTTACATAGGTATAAATTATGAACATTATTTTATTTTCGTTTATTATTCAGTCCTTATATGGGTAGAAGGTGTGGAAGTGATTGCAGAAGGTATCATTTTATCTGTAAAATGATTTTACAAGACAGTGAAAGTAAATCAATATCCTAAACAAAAGTAGTTGTATACACAGATTGACCAAAATACAATCTATTACAGATTGGAACCATTAAAAAATGGTTACTTTTTTAAATACAAATAAAAAAAAAATTGATAAAGTTTACTTTTTAAATGGCAAGGCTCTTCAGGCAGGTCTGAAGGGACATGTTTTTCTACAGGTTTCATTCCTTTTATTATTAGCAAATTGGCATTACTAAATGGGAAAGATAATGGAATGGTTTTCCATTGCTTTTTCCATGGTTTTGAAGTCAGAGTTTTCCTTCTCTTAGATCAAATGCCAATCAAGGCTAGAAAATCTAGTTTACACTGCTATTCAACCCATTGCTTGGTGGGAGAGGGAATTTAGTACATTCATTCCCAAGGTCATTAGTGTGAAAGTGAATGCAAAGCTTTGAGAAACTGAAATGTATGTATATTCCAAATATATTATTGATTGTTGCTGCTAAACTTTATGCGATTGCTATGCATATGCCCAGAGAGGGTACTTCAAAGGAGATTATGTAAATTGACAGATAATGCATATTTTCCAAATGTTTAACTAGTACCTCACACAAATACACACAAAACATATATATATATATATATATATATATATATATATATATATATATTTGGTTGGATAGATGTGAGTTTGTGACCCTGGGTTTCACGCTTTAGCGATCGCCTGACGATTGCTAAAGCGTGAAACCCAGGGTCACAAACTCACATCTATCCAACCAAATATGTTAGCTCTATCTCTGATATTGAGCGCTTAATAAGTACCAAGATATAATATATAAATAATTATACATATATATATTTTTATTTATATTTATATTCACTTTTATATATATATATATATATATATATATATATATATATATATATATATATATATATATATATATA